ATATCGATCAGACGATCTGATTAACTTCACACACTTTATCGGCTTAGAAGGACAACCCACAAAGGACAGGCTTTGTGCAGCTTTTGTTCGGCGAGCGGCCCTATTCCCCATCAGATCTAATCAGCCTGGGTATGACCTTGTAATTCCGGCTCTGAAGGCATCTCACGCAAATGTTGTGGAACCGGATCAGATGACGGCAATTTTCATTCAAGTGAAAAACCGTCGGGAGGGACTTGCTGAAGGACCGTTATTGGAGGCAATGGTGGAGCAGGTACGTCTGGAGCCATCTACGGTATCAGCGGACGGCTGTCACTTCTGGTTATTACAACGGGCTAGGCAACGCACTAGGCGACCCCTGAGTGTAAATTGTGCGTCATTCACCTTCGGAAGCCTCTTTCATAGGTTCCAACAGAGTGTCGTGGCTTTGTTAACAAGCCTTTTGAACGACACTGTCCATCTCATGACTTCCGTGGATCATGGTCGTAAGCCAGAAGAGCAACTACGAGTGGAAAAGACCTTTTATGAAATGATTACCAAACTGCCAGATTATGTTCCTGCCCGCCCTCTTGATCCATCTGGTCATGATTGCGAGTCTGGAGAAGCCAAGCGCGCCAGAATGATCAATGAGTCAGTCACGCCTAACCCACCTCACGCCTAACCCACCTCATGCCTGACACAAACTTTGGTACCCCCAACTCAGCGGAGCGGCGTTCCTGCCGTCTGAAAGCTCCATCATCTTTGACACACAGCCGGCAAGGGGTTTCGTGGTAGAGGTCAGACCCCAGCGGACGTTACAAACATCAGAACAAGCTCTTACTGGTTATTTGCTGCACCGTCTAGCTCCCCTCAACTTTCGGTCGCGTTCGGATCAGCGTTACAGTAGAGAAAAGATTTCACCGATTTCGTTCGGGTTCATCGTCGACTTAGTTGAGCTCAATCCCCAGCCAGCTGAGTTCAACTGAGAGGTCTCCTAAACGTGCTACTTCCGTAATGCATAGCTCGTCGGATGCGGTTACATGAAGTTCGGAGGCGGCATAAATTGATTTGATTGCAAACGTCGCCAAAAGAGCTTGCCACCCTGACTTGTCGTCTACCAACTCCACAGGTCTTTCGCTCTTGTTTGCAAGTAGTATGAATCGCCGTAGTTGTCGTCTTTTGGTTCGTTGAGTGCTCGGTTTAGTATCGGTAAATACGATGAGTGGTTTTCTATTGTGCGGCAGTAGTCCTGAATCTGACCTAGGTACTTAGGCGGCTTAGGTGAGTTGCTGGTAGCCACGTGGCGAATGGTAGTTTCTTCAGCATCGTTCCCATGGTAGTTGTGATTCCAATGTTCGAATGAGGGGTTTGCCTCCTAGACCGTTCTTAAAAAAAACTATTCCTCCGTTCTTACACATTCTGCGTTCGTTCCCGTCCGATCTGGAGTCCAATCCCTAAAGTTCAATTTCTGGAGTTAGGCAACTCGTTCGAGGTCGGCATGAATTCGTTCGTTAAGACACAGTCGAATGCACGAAAGAAGAAGTGTGTGCACTTCGATGAACTCGGGACGGAACAAACACCGCGGTTCCCCGGCTCACCGGACGGCCTGGTGACGGAGAGCCGTGCTGACCGACCTCGATCACCCCCGGCGTTGGGTTTAGAACCAACGGTGGGATTAGAACCAACGGTGGGATTAGAACCACCGTTGGGTTTGGAACCAGCGTTGGGTTTGGAGTCGGAGGAAACGAGTCTGGTCACAGAAGATGTGTCCTGGTATGGCCAGCTGGGCTCCAGTGGGCAGCCGGCGTTGCACTGGAGCCTGCCGTTCGAACCACTGCCGGAGCTACGAGAAAGTTTCCTGGATAGCGAAATCCACGAGTACATGCCCAGCAGCCTATCGGAACACAGCTCCGCAGGTTACCCCGACCGGGGCGGTCGTAGGCGCGACGACTGCCGACCCGTCCGGCTCCTGAGCGAGTCTGAGATATCTGCCAGCCCCGATGCCGGTGTGCAGCTTTCCAGGTCGCCTCGAGATGGTCTAGCCGGAGAACCTGGAACGACGGGAGAGCGTGGAACGACTGGAGATCGTGGAACGACTGGAGATCATGGGACGACTGGAGATCGTGGGACGACTGGAGATCGTGGGACGACTGGAGATCGTGGCACGACTGGAGATTGTGGCACGACTGGAGATCGTGGCACGAGTGGAGATCGTGGCACGAGTGGAGATGCTGGGACCGCGGGGTCTCCACTGGAGACCCCTCCACTGGAGGGCGAGGAGAGGCGCCATGGCGGGGAGACATGTCAGGGCGAGGAGAAGACGGCTTCGGAGCAAGCACTTTGCAATGGAGACACTGCTGCGGAGAGACGGGGGCTGGTCGACGGTCGGTGCCTGCACACTTTCCGACCGGTGGTCTGTGAGACGCCTCCACGTGCTCCGCGTGTGAGCAAATTAGATTTCTCTTTCCTGGAGCCGCCTTCACCGATTCCGGTGCGTTCCGTGATGCTTACGAATAAGCACCGAGCGCGTCTTTCCAACAACGGCGGCGGAATTCGTGACCGCGAAAGCGCGGTAGAAGATGAGGGGGTGGAAGATGAGACTGGGACTGCGGAAGCTAGAGCTGGGGAAGTTAAGGTGGTGGGAGATCCGATCGCGGCGCTCTCAGGCGGTTCGGCAGGGATCATTGACCTTGCAGGGATCATTGACCCTGCAGGGATTAGTGGCCATCCTGCAGGGATTGGTAGTCAGCGTACAGGAGACTATGGTTATGCTAGTTTCGTCGGCAGGGCGACTGCGTATGACCAAGGGCTGGAGGATTTTCTGTCCGTGATTGGACAGCGAGCAGTCTGGCAGGAGATGGTACAGGTGTCTCTGCTGTTGTCGCAACAGCCTGCCCGGACGGTAGATCAGCTGGTTCAGTCGGGTCAGACGTGGGACGTCGACTTGAACAAGGCCTGTGGCGTGGAGATGAAGGACGAATCCGTGCTGCTGGAGGTAGTGGGCAACCTGCCTTATTTGACCGCTCGAGAAATTAATGAACGCCGATGCCAGAGATATAATGACAAACTGAAAACATGTTTGAATAGATTTTCATTTGACAAATTAAGTTATAAAGTTGATTTGTGGACTCTGAATTCAATCGACCGGAATGTCGCTGACGGACAAATAAACAAGTTTATCCAAGCGAGAAAGCGCATTGCGGCCTATGCAGCGGAGCGCCAATGGCAGCAAGAATTCCTCGCTCAGCTTTCCAAGGATATTGTCAAGATGACTCTCGTCCACGTCAAAAACGTCAAGACTACCTTGGAACAGTCATTGGCTGAGCTGAAAAGTAGACAGGACGAGTTGGAGGAGATAAAAAAAATTATTGACCATGATAAAGCGCGAAAGCACACACGTGCGGAGATTGTCGAACGCTGGAAACAATCATTAATCTACTACACCGATATCAAGGGAGAGACTTTGCGGCGAGAGCAGTTGATTAAGGAGCGCATAGGAACATGGCATGAAGAGAACAGGAAATTATTGGCGGACCTAGAGCTCGAAAAACAAAAGAAGGACCAGGAGATCGCGCGAAAAGAAAGGTTAAAAAACATTGTCTACGCTCTGAATGTATATCGTGAACGGTGTCTGCTGGTTGATGAATGGGCGCCCGGTAAGTTATCGGTTGACGCACAGCAAGGCAAAGTGACATTGAGTTTTCAAACTTTAAGTTCACTGGCTTTTACGAACCCGGTTTTTCTGGTGGATTCTGTGCTGTGGTTGAACGGCCAAGAGAACAATGCGCAGACGGCGGTATTGCGAAGGAAGGTTCTTGAGGGTAAAAGGCATCAGGCGCCGTTGGACGCGGTGCTGGCGCTATTGCCGCCTTGGAGCCTGGAGTTGCACCTGCAGCCGCAACAGGCCCCGCAGGTGACTGCTCTGCGGGTGGGTGATCATGACCTGCTGTGGTGTGCGCTCCCTGCCATGCTCACGACGCTGGGTTCGGGTACAGAAATCGCCACCACACCTAATGACGCCGGAGAGAAACCGACACTCGTTCCGTTCGTCGGCAGCCGCCAGGAGGAGTTGTCGACGCTGATGATCGCTGAGTTGTGTACATTGATGGTGGCGCTGCTCATCTGTCTGGGTGCTGCTTGCCGCCAGATGTTGGTTAAAGCTGCCGCCCAACTCCAACTAGGCGCCGGCGTCGACGATGTGGGCGGCGTTGGCTGGGCACTGGTAAACAACGTACAAAGACTTGCTCTCGAACTCGTTGGTATCTGGTGGGAACACAGCGCCCATCGCAGCTGCACAGGCACTGTAGCCATCGCGCCACCCACCGTACCCGACTCTACCAAATTACGGTTCTGCTTTTGGCAAGACGCCGATGACAAACCACCCAAATTACTACTCAGACTACCCCTCGCCACACGCACTCGGCTGCTTGTCCTTACCCTCCGTTTCGACGTCTGTGCAGCAATACAAGCTGGCACACTCGCCAGCGGCTTCGAAGCCATGGACAATCTACCAGACGAGGAACTCGCTCTTTTCAAAATCGAACTCAGACATCATAGATCCGACCATCTACTCAACTCGCAACTCACCGTAACCATCCCCAGCTACGCTCTCCCCCCCCCTCCCGATCTGACGCCCCCCCTCCCGATCTGACGAGTGTATTTTGCAGAATCTGTCTCATGGTTGCGGATTTGCGGAGTTGTTGGCCAGGCGCGTGATCCCACAGGTGGTCAAGCGATAGGTGGTTTTCGTTCTCCCAAGAGTGGGATTCGAACCGACGACCTTAGTTAGCTAGTTTAGTTGGTTGTTGTGTAGGTAGTGAAGGTTCCGTCTTGGCCGAGGATATTGACTTTTGTTTTGCGGATGGCGTGGGTAGGGCGTTCTAGGAGGTCGCAGGCAGCGGTGGGGGGTAGGGTGGAGTGTGCCATGCCAAGGGATGCTAGATCAGGGAAGTGGAGGAGTTGTCGGTCTGTACGTTGTACGCATAGGCCGCAGGGTGGAAGGAGTGTAAACGCCTGCGGACACTTGGCAAGTGAGTCTGGCAGGTGTTCTGTGCGTGTCCAGCGTGTGGGTAGATCTGGTAGTCGGTTTGGGGTACGTCCCGAAACGGTTTCAGGTCGAGTCCGGAATTTGTTTCTAGCTGGGTTGAGTAACACGACGAGAGAGCGATCGGTGGTGAGGAGTGCTAGAAGAGCGGGTTGACCGGTGGAGTCTAGTGAGAGTTCTGCGGCTAGAATGGTTTGAGCTGTGGTAGGCGCATAGAGGATGTGTGCAGCAGCGCACGTATCGCAAACACCAGAAGTGTTAAGCACATGTACCGGCAACAGTGCAGTTTGAGCACCGAGTTTCCACCGTTTATGAAGCGCTGCGGCATCAACAAGGAGGAGACAATCGAGGCTAGTTAGGAGCAAGACCCAGTGCGCGATACAACGGAGACGTGTAAAGGGTTGAGAAGCAGTCCAACCTCTCATATGTAACACCAATCGTTGTCCATTAGCCAACTTGTATCCAAACATAGGGTCCGCACAAACGTCAAAGAAGTGCAACACACCAGCCTGCTCCAATACAATCAACCTACCACCCACCTGTCCCACACCCACCACACTGCGACCACGGAAGCCATCCAACACTCCCGCACGATGTGGTGCCGACGGATTAATGTATAACAGCAAACCCTTCTGCGACGCAATCACTGGCACACCCGCCATCGGGGTGGGGGGACCTCCACTCGACGTCGGGACTCCCCCCGGGTTTGGGGCGTCGGCAAACGGCGAAGACGCGGTCGGTGACGGGACCGCCAAGGACGGGACCGCCAAGGAGGGGATCCACGTCGCCGCCATGGGTAGGCCGAACGCGTGCACAGGGAAGGCCGCCTTGTACATCCTCTTCACCACATCCGGACCCACGCTAACCACCAACACGTCGTTTGACGTCGTTATAATCAAATCTGCAAATCGGGAGGGAACGCAATGGGCGGAAGATCTCCCTGGTGGGCGAGGCAGGCTTACATTGCGAAGTGTTATACACATCTAGTTGAGCCACTTCTTGGATTCGGTTCTGGGGCACGTCGAAAACGAGCTTGGGATTTTTGCTCATGCTTTATGGCTTCAGTCTTTTTGCGCTTTGGTGAGTACCAATGCATCGTCGACATTTCCTTCTGGGACAAAGTGATCAAATTGAAACTTCACGAATGGAGATTAGACAAGCCAGTGATAAGCATCAAAGGATTCATACAATCGCCAAACGTGCTGCGCATTAATAACGAGAGCTTGGAACCCGAGGCTAGTTCGACTGGTAAGGCCGCACACACGTGTGTGCGCGCGATTTTGCGCATTTTAGATCAGCATTATGTGACGGGGAAATTCTATCATGTGAACAGCCAAGAGGAATTTTGTGACTATCCGTTCAACCAGGCTGCTATGCAGTCGCTGCAGCCGCTACTTAGTCACGTGAGAACGAAATCTGCGGTTGACGTATCCCTGATCTGTCCATTCACCGTGGTTGCGTACATGGACCTGAAGGACTACATCATGAAGTACGCCGTGTCCATTGGCACTGTGGGTTCAACCAGGTTTGAATTGGTGGAGAGCAGAGAAATCCAGGAGGATGGTGCCTACCGAAAGCTGCTGGAGAGGGTGATTTTCTCTCCGGCCCCGGCCCCGGCCCCGACCCCGACCTCGACCTCGGTCCCAGTCCCGAC